CCACGTAGAGCACGTTACAGAAGTCAAGACGGGAAGTCACCAGCGCATGTGTCACTGTCGCCAGGCAGTCGTACTCCATTTTAGATAAATAATGCATTGTTTCTTCTTTGCCTTGTTTTCCATGGGATCATCTAGATACAGATAAGTTTTGGTCCTTTCTGAGGCCAAGTAATTGCCTACCTCAGCTTAATAAACATTTATTTTTCTGGTTTCCCAGTTATGAATGGAAACATAACTCAAAGGTTTTGTTTGCATTGCTGGAAGTGGGTTGGGCATATGTTTGATATAAGACTTTAATTACTACTAGAGAGGCCTAAGTTAAAGCATGAATGGGAATATATTTATTTATTTTCTATACTACCCAATAGCCAACACTTTCTGGGCAGTTTACAAGAACAACATGTCTCCAAACAGGATTTTCATATGGTGCCAAGCAGCACGTTGGCTGGAGCCATCATGTCCATTTTATACTGTCCTGAAAGGAAAGGTAAATCTATATTTCATTTAAGTCAAACTCAAGGAAGGTCATAGAGAAACAAACTGTCATAGGTCAGTTAAAGACATGTGACGAATGATCTCAATTTGATAATGGCACCATTTAACCCAAAAGTCTATGGACCTGTGAAAACCAGGCCTTACGAGGAGAATGTCCCTCATCAGTGCTCCCTGATAAGGGAGGCCAAGCCAGAATTTTTATTTATTTATTTATTTAAAACATTTTAATGCTGCCCCCATGGAGACTTAAGCAGAAAATAGAAGTGGGCTGATGACATTATCTTCAATGCAGGACCAGACTTTTGCCTGCGGGGGCCTCTATATATTCTTTCATTAAAAAAAAAAAAAAGAGCAAATATATATCACTGAGTTTTTCAGCTTGGTTTTCACAAGCATCCAAGCATCCAGCAACATTTTACAACATCCTATTTCAAGCACTTCATATTCAAAATTTTAATGTTTAATTAGTACAAATGTTTGTTTTTAAATGCTGTTATTGTTAAATAAAGTAGGTATTTACCAGTTTCCTTTCCATCGAATCATAGAATGGCAGAGTTGGAAGGGGCCATGAAGGCCATCGATCCCAACCCCCTGCTGTTGCAGGACACCAGTTTACACCATCCCACTCAGATGGCTGTCCAGTTTCTTTTGAATGTCTCCAGTGTGGGAGAGCCCACCACCTCCTAGGCAGCTGGTTCCACGATAGCGAGGAAGCTTTTCCTGATGTCCAGCCTGAATCTGGGTTGTTGCAACTTGAGCTGATTATTCCGTGTCCTACACTCTGGTATTTTTAAGTGAGTGGGGACTAGGGAGAGGCTGCAGGAGACTCGCAGGCTATTGTGGCAGGCTGGAGGGAACTCGCAATGGAAAATGTGTTGAAAAATCACACACAACTATCTATTCATTAAAAAATTTTTTGTGAAGGGCTGTTTCCTAGTTATACATGAAACAGAGTCATCTTTCACTGCTTAGTAATTTACTAAGCAGGAACATCCCCTTCTGTCTGCTCTGAGAGTGTTTTCCTATTAGGGGACATGAGAACAATGAAAATATAAATACATTTATGATCCTTTTTTGTTAGAAGTGGCATGCAACACAGCATGAAGGCCTGCTATACCTAGGATTTGCATTGACTCTGTTATTTGACAAACAGTTGCCTGAGCACATTTTTATGAACTCTAGGAAGCAAGTCCCACCTCAGTCCTCTCCACAGAAGATGGCTTTAGTTCATACCTTACATGTTTAAGTGAACATTTAATATACAGTGGTACCTCGGCTCACAAACGCCTCAGTTCAAGACCAAATCGGGTCGTGAACAGAAATTTCAGAAAAATTTTGCCTCAGGTCACGAACTCCGCATCAGGTGATGGTCGCGATCATGCCCATCTTTCCCGCATGGGCGCAATCACGGTTGTGCTTGCGGGGGCGGGAGGGAGATGGCCACAATCATGCTGGTAGGGGGAGATGGCCCTGATATTTATTGTTCTTTGTCACTTTGCTGTTCTTTGTTGCTTTGTTTCAGATTTTTGTGATTTTAAAAATGGTTACAGAACAGATTAACCTTATTTACTTTGAACCTTATGGGGAAATTTGACTTGGGTCACGACCAATTTGGGTCGCGACCAGAGTCATGGAACAGATTAAGTTCATGAGCCAAGGTACCACTGTATTGTTCTTATATACCTAAAAGTGTAAAGTGCAATAGAGGCAAACACATTTCTATACCATGATCAAGGAATGGGATTGGTTGTAGATCTCTTGGTTGTAGATCTCATCTGCATGCACACTTGATGATCAATGTAGGTTTGCCTCCACGTGGAGTAGGAAGTGGCCAACAAACACGAGGCTTAGAAGGGAGTAGCTCAGCTATGTATTGATGTCAATCCTGTTGGCTGGGAATTCAACCAATCTCTCTTTTTCCTTTCCTGCAGTTTCCCTCCTGTCCCTCTCCTAACACAGACATCTCAGCACTCTGTAAGCCCAGGAAGTTCACAGGTCTTTGGCAGGCCATTTCTAGTACTTGATCAGCATTCTTTTTTCAATTGGCAACGTAAATACTTCTGCGTACTTGGGGAGACCCCTGACTATGCCGTGGTTATTATCTTGTTTTTGTATGGTCCTGCTATGCTTCCAAGCAAATTGTTACTCAAGTTCGGCATTAGAGAGACTGATTCATTGATTTCCTCTACTACTTTTATTTGAACATGTATATATGTCATTGCAAATGCACAGAGATAAACGGGTAAACTAAGCAAGGGGGAACAAGTTCACCATTATTCAAAGTCCCTTCTGCCCACCTCAGAGTGCTGTAGGGCAGTGGTCTCCAAACTGTTCTGAGGAACCCTAGGATTCCTCAAAAATCTCCTAGGGATTCCACAAAAAAATCTCAAAAATCAATTTAAAATGGATTTTAAAATGAAACCACAGAGGCCAACTATTCAATTGTCAGTTGGTGTCCAAGCAGCAAACAAGGAAATGCATCATGTTATTTAGTTCCTAGGACTATATTACATGGTGTTGGGAATGATTTGGGATATTACTATATACTGGCTTTATTCATTCATTATATTTAAAATGTTTTCTCTTTATTTCCAAACCTACTATGTTATGCAAAGCACTCAGGCAATAGGGAGCAGATGAAAGAAGGAAGAACATGGTGGGTTCACAATGCTTAGTAAAAATCAGGAATAGAGTTAGGGTTCCACAGGAAAAAATGTCTTCAGAAAAGTTCCATGGCTGGAAAAGTTTGGGAAGCACTGCTGTAGGGGGTAACATGGGAGGGCAGATTTCAGGCTTTTTGGGATCTACTTTTTCTTTAAACTACAACTGCAAGATCCACAGCTGTGTCTGGATCCCAGGTGGTGTTTCAGTCATTCAATTAGTTACCAAACCCAGTCATTCATACACTGGGATGGGAGACAGACCAATACCAGCCTGCCTTGGAGTTGCTAGAAATCAGGGGTTCTAACAACCAGAAAAATGCTATTATGCAACAATTGGGGATTTGCTGCAATATGGCACATCACCCTGCAATCTCCAATACATTCTGCTCTTTCTTCTGTCCGTAGCTGAGGTATATATTGATATAAATTATGCCATGCTGATACTGATGTTGTATCCTCTATGCACATGGCACTTTACAAATAAGTTTGATAGATGTGTGTATTTGGAAGCAGTTCTTCAATTATTGCAAGTTCAGTGTGGTGCACACAGTAAAACTAGAGAGAGCAGGGATGGGAAATGCCCCACCTGTGGACCTTGTTTGGCCCATGGAGGTTACTCATCAGGCTTGTGGAGCTTTCTTGGATTTCTTCTGGGCTCTGCCAATCAAAAAATGGACATAGCAACAGTGTGTGCCCTATTTTGGAAGGAGATGCACATGGACCACTCTGTAGGAAGCAGGAAGACTTAGCCAGTCTCTGAGCTTTTTCTTGGCTGTGTGAGTCTTCCCATGTACCACGCCTTGCCCCTCTGGGAATGACACATGAATCCCAGGACACACCTGCACTGTGCCTTCCTCCACAGAAGAGGGTGTTGGCACGGGTGATACATTTAGGTGGTGCAGCCTCAGTTGGGGTGGCTTTGCTTGCATTGTGCTTTCCTGCGTTGGGAAGGATAGGTACGAAGTGGCTGGGCACCTCCCACCCCAGATAGTGTGGCAGCTGTTATTGTTTTAGCAAAGAGACTTTGAGCAATAAGGATATGCCATTTATAATGTAATGTCTGAATCGCTGAGGAATTCTCTGCTTCGTGAGGTGGAGCAGCAAAAGGCATCAATTTACCCAAACAAAACCCAAGGCCAGCAAAGGACATTCTGGTACCTAAGTCAGGAAATCCCCAAAGCACCTCTCCCTCTCCATGGCAGTAAACATAAAGCAGGGAAACACTGAAAAACTAGCCCAATGCCAGAATATCAAACATTCTTCAAAAGGGGCAGATGCTGATCTCGTGGCTTCTTTGCCACTATGATGCCATAGGACACCTTTCTTCACATCATGCCTTTCCACCTTCAGGGAGAACTAGGATTTCCGACTCTCTCTCTCCCCGCCTCCCTCTCTCCCTTCACGTTGCACTGCTGGTGCAGGGGCTTTGCACGCTGGTGCATGGGGGCCACCGGTGCGGACTACACTTCCCAAGTTTCCTCGGGGCGTGGGCGTGGATAAAGTCCGTAGGAGGTGTCTGCGGAAAGGGGGCTTTGTGCTGCGGTGCGCGTTTGTCTGTCTGGTTCCGCGGCTGGCTGCTGCTTATTCTTCCGCTGCTGGTTGCGCTTTCTAGGCGCTGAGCGCGGTGCAGGCGGCGAGCCCGGCGCTCGCTACAGCCAAGCGTCAGGAGGCGGCAGGCGAGGAGGAGGAGGAGGCGGAGGAGGAGCGCGCTCCGCCCCAGCCATGCGTCTCCCGGTCCGGACTGCTTGGTGTGGCGGCGGCTGTGCAACATGCAGGAGCTGAGATTCCGGGGCCCCATCAGCACCTCTAGAAGAAAGGGAGTCGGGGAAGGCAGCGGGAGAGCATGAAGCCGGAAGGAGACCATTGGCCCGGCCAGTGCTAGAGGGAGACCTGGAACTGCGCGGCTCCGCCTCGCCGCTGAGCCTCAGTTTTGGGGGTGCGGGCGTGCGTCTGTGTGGGGGGCGACGAGCTGGGCGGCCGCGAGGCCGGGGGGCTCGGTGCGGAGAAGAGATCGCCTCGCCGCGGAGCGGACCGGAGCGAGCGAGCGAGCGAGCGGAGCGGGGCGGGGGGTGCAGAGTAACGGAGCGGCGAGCGAGCCCGCGTTGCGCGGAGCGGAATCGCCGCCTGAGCCCGCGAGTGGTGGGCGCTCTCGCCGGCCCCCCTTCCCCGAGGAAGGGCCGTCACCATGGGCAATGCGGGGAGCATGGACTCGCAGCAGACGGACTTCAGGGCGCACAACATGCCTCTCAAGCTGCCGATGCCCGAGCCAGGGGAGCTGGAAGAGAGATTCGCCGTCGTGTTGGTGAGTAAGGGTCGCTCCGGAGTGCGTGGCCGCCTTCGCCATCCCGAGCGAGCCCGGCTCAGACAATCCGGTGGGGAGGGGGGAGGGAGAGGAGGGGTGCGGGCTCGCCTCGGCCCCTACTCTCTTTCTCTGCTTTCCTGCCCGGCTCAGCCCTGCTGGAGATGAGGCGCAAGAGGGCGGCAGAAAAGGGCTCGGGAGCCTTTCCCTCGCGGCGCTGTGCTTGTCCTCCCGAGCGCGCGGGTGGTGCTCGTGAGGGGTGGGGAGAGCGGGCGCTGGAGGGTCGGAGTGGGACGGAGGCAGCCCGAGTGCCTGGAAAGCAGCTGATCCATTGTTCGCGGGGAACGGGGCAGTTGGCTGCTGGCGCGCCGTGTGCGGCGGGGAGAGCGGCTCTCTGGCGGCGGCTGGCTTGGGTGGGAGTGCAAAGGAGCCTCGGAGGACGGGGCTGGCTCGCCTGCCCTCCCCGCTTCCTAGCCGCACGGCACAGGCGACCCCTGTATGGGCTGCCATTGCGAATGATCCCGGAGGTGGGCAGGCTGAGCAGTTAAAGTTGCTGGCGCGCAGGCGGCCATTCAGTTGCCACCACTGGTCTGTTCTAAACTGAGATCTGCATGTCATTTGCAGCTGCGGCTGCGGGGTGAAGGAAGAGCGCTTGCAAAGCCCGGAGAAGCCGGGAAATCACTGCCTTTGAATCAGAGTTGAACGCCTGCAGCTTCTGGTTTGGTTTGGGCAGTCGTTTTGTGGTTAGTCCTCACCAAGGGGGAAGGAAGCTTAAAAATACATAGTTTGGCCAAACGGGGAGGACTTTGTTAGCCCGAGCCTAACCACGCACTTACTTGGAAGTAAGGCTCCATTGATTTCAGTTTGCTTGGCTGTCACGTAAACGCACCCAGATAAATTGCTACTTTGGTTAGCGATTTGGAGGCAGTGAACTTGTTGTAGCCGTTCCTCGTCTTTGTGACTTAAAACGATTCAATAAGCGCTCATAGCAAGTTGCAGACATTCATATCCGTGTGAGGAGCACATTGTGGACTTAGGCAGTTATATGTAAAGCCTGCCTTTTTCCTGCAGGGATCCCGAGACATGGCTTTCCTCGTCTCCATTTTATGTGAGGCAGGTTAGGCTGAGCGTGAGTGACTGGCCCAAAGTCATCTAGTGGGGACTTGAACCTGGGTCTCCCTGTCTCAGCCAAATCCTAACCACAAAGCCACTCTGGCTCCCCACATCCCAAGGAGTCAAATGGTGCATCTTTCACATTTGATCTGGATTCTTAACAGGGGTTTTAAAGCTAAATGAATTGGATTTGGCAGTGCAGCCATTTCATTACAAATAGCATTTAATGGAATAAGTGTGCCCCCCCCTTTTCCTTCTGGGTCTCAGTATTTCATGCAGAATAAAGGAAACCAACTTATTAGTGGCAGTTTCTGGTGGTGCTGCCTGCTGATATAACTGGGATAGGCAAACGATGCAGATTATGCTGGTACATTGAAGGAGTTACCTCTAACAAAAGCAACATGCAGAGTTTCATTTTTTAAAAAGGGAGCATGCACTCTTTGCAGTTGTGCTGGAGTTTCTCCTAAATGGCCTTAGGAAACATTCACACTGAGGACTATTTCCAAGAACATGTCTGAAAAAAGTTTTGTGTAAGTTGTTTTGAGAGATTTCCAGAATGGGACTTTTCTCTGTCACAATGTATCTGTTCCTGTTCCTTTACCTTTGGCATACTTTATGATGGAAATCAACCTTTATAGCAGTAGCACTTTTTTGAGGTCAAATGTGAGTTCATGATCCAGCCAGAAGCTATCATGTGCCCTGAAGGAAGCAGACGAGATTGTGTTTTTCCAGGGTTGGCACTTGCAACACTCTCATCCTGCTAGGTGGGATCTTAAGTAATACAGTATGCAAAGAAGACAGTAATTAAACACGCAACAAAGTAATTATTTCATTAAGTGAAAGCAGTGGTGAGATCATTTCTGTTTTGCCATGGCTTGATGAGTAACCTTGCCCTGTCTTAAATCTGACATTTTCTTTCATTATTCTGGAAGCTAATTTCTGTCTTGAGCCTTGATGCATAGATAGGTTCATATATTTATTCCTTGGGGCATAATTCTGTGCATCTTTAGACATACAGGTCATGCTTAGACATTTGGCTGGGGCATGCTGGGAGTTGCAGGAGCATTTCTGTCTAAACATGCATGGGGCTGCACCTTCAGTGTGCTAATGTATTTCCTCTAAATATAAAATATTGCACAAGGATAGTTTTTGTTTTGGCCGTGTTTTGTCCCCTGGCTGATCCAAATACTTGCATTGACTTTTACTTGTATGGCTGCTTCCCGCAGCATCATTTCTCTAATAGTGAACATGGGTGACTGAGATGGGGCCACCCAAAAGTTTCTTCATGCTCTCCAGACATTCAGACAAATTTGTAAGAGTTTAGTCTGATGCAATCAAGACAGGAAAAAGTCCTCCAACTCTCAACATGCTGACTGGAGGATGCTGAGAGTCCTAAGAGCTTTTTCTCTCTAAATATGCATAAGATGGCACTCTAAATTAAGATAACAGTGGGAAAATGTCAAGCTGCTTGACTAGAAGCCTGAGTAGCCAGAGAGAAAAAGTCTTGAGAAGCCAGAAAGACAAACTTGGACATTCTCTTAGTAAAGTCTATACATGACAGCAGGTGACATGGAGTGTTAGGTTGTCAGCTGGGGGAACCCCCGCCTTCCCTTCATGAAACATGGAAGAAAAGAAAAGGAAGGAGATTAATCTGCCTAGCCCCTGAACCTGATCCGTCTAATCTACGTATCCTGTTGGGGGAATCAGAATTTGGGGGATGCTCACTAGGTTTATAAAAGTGTCCATCTGCACTATTATACAGAGTGATGTTTTAGAAGACAAGGAAGGCAGAAAATGACAGCTTCCTCCTTTTGCAGTCTCCAAAAAGGTATTTCAATGTATTTTATTGTGTTGTAAGCCACCCCGAGGCTTTGGCAAGGGGCGGCATAGAAATGTTATAATAATAATATAATAATAATAATAATAATAATCCTTCCCCCAGAAGGTACTTTGTGCCTCTAAATGGCCAGGTTTGAAATTGGCAGACCTCCAATACTATATAGCATGTAGAGAAAGTGTAAAAATGGTGGCGCTGACCCATTTCCTACTTGAGAAAGTCCCTAGTCCCCAAGGACCTTGAACAGGTTGTGTGTTGAATCAGTGTGGGATAAACAAGAGGTAGATGGTGGGGCACCTGCGGACACTAGTGTGCCCCTTGAACATTTCCCTGGAACTCACATTCTCTTAATTTTTTGCAAAAGAATGTTTCTTATTGGCAGTTGGAATCAGTTCGCTGCAACATGAGGCTCTGTAGCTGTTCCCAGCTTGTTCCATGGATGTCTCTGAGCAACACGAGCGCGCTCCATTTTTAAGTTGGCTTCATCAGTGTTCACTGTTGGTAAATTTTGTAGCAGGAGATCCAAGAGGAGAGAAGCAATGAGACTAAAATCATTTGGAAAATAAATATACAGGATGGGACAACAGCCATGCCCCAAATCCATCTCCTTTCTACGGTATGCTGTGTATATAGAGTGATATGTATAATAGCCCAGTTTGCCTATAACAATACATTTTTCAAAAAAATCTGGTTTGCCATTGTGACTTGTTAACACACCAAAGAGTTCGCTCCTGAATGTTTTATTGTGTCCCTATCACACTGGCCTTTTGCAGCCTTAGTTTCCCTGTACTTGAGCTCTTGTTATGACATGACCTTGAAACTGAATTCTTGGGGTGGCTTCCAAGGAAAAGAGAGCTGTAGATACAAAGTGCACTCTGGGAAAACAAACCAACCCCTATTTGAGTTACTGTTACTTTTTCATGCAGTTTTACTTTGGATTAGAACATCTAGGTTGACTTGAAATGCTAGTTTTTTAATACTGTGTTTTATTTGTTTTATTCTACTTTACTATCAAACCGTCCCAAAACCTTGGTAGTGGACAGCATAAAAAGTTAATAAATGAATAAACAAACACTTTTTAATGCTTTAATAAATAGTTTCAATGTTTAAAAGCAATGGATCAGACCCTTAAACCTGGAATTGTACCTGACTTAGCTGAATGTAGATTCAGTGAAGTTTAAAGGGAGAAGTCCAGTCAGTCAATGTCAGAGCTTCCATTGGCTTGCACAGTGCAGGATGAATAAAACCTAGAAGCTAATTTATCTATCTCGATCACGTCTAGAGCTTCCTATGAATGTGAGACAGAATCCAGAGAGAGCAATCATATGGCCCCTAGACATGGCCTGGCAGTGGGGGACACAGGATACTTTGAATTTCCAGATTGGAAAGAGAGCTTCAACTTCAGAGTGGTGAATCCAGGGTCTTGGTCCATGATCACCTTGCCTGGAACTTGACCCCAGAGACCTGGTAAATGGACATTCAGAAGGAGGGGAAGCGAAGGGAGGAGAGCTCAGGAGCCCAAGATATGAGCTGTCTTGTCTCCTCTGTAGCCTCTTCCCCTCCCACTCTGAACTGCTCTGGCTAAAAGGGTGAACATGCCTGTCTAGTGATAATGTGCAGTGGGAGGAATGTGGAGGTGGGGATTGCCTGTGCCTCCCTCCTGCTCCATGTAGGATGCTCATACACCTCTTCAGTTGGAGGCATGGAGAGCACAGCCCCGAGGATAGTGGGGAAATCTGGGAGTTGTAGGACTGTTTTTGGTCTAAATGTGTAGTAGATTATACCTTTCCCATTTTCAGAGTGCAAAAATTCAATATAGTACTGTAAACTCAATAGATAACTAGGAATACAGTATTGGTATAGCATTTCTATCCTTTTCAATTTGCAGGGGATTTTGGCAAGGGCAACAGTGACTTTTCCTATTATTAGTGCCCATAATCAATTTTTATTTATATCATTCAGCTTCAATGTACATTTATATTTCCAGGTCAAGAAAGTAGAATTTAAATGATAATGGTACTAGCATGATGCCAATAATGATAACAGTGAAGCA